AGCTTTCTGTAAGGCCAACGAATTCCTCTACCAATGTTTTGCTCTCATTGTTCTTTTCAATAACATTTTAGATTTATATTCTACCAGAAAAACTGTCCTCTCTTGCTTTTCCCTCTTTTTGACAGTAAGCACAGAGTAGTCCTGAAGAACCCAACAAAGTATACAGTAAGCAGGACTGAAGAACAAAACAAAAAAACGATACAGTATGTGATTACCAGAGGATCAGTAACATACCCAGACATAATTATTTTTTTCACTGCAGAAAATGATCGTTAAAAAGGCATAACAATATCTAATTATAAGCAAGCTAAATAAATAAACCCAACAGTGCGTTAAGACTAGCAGAAATGAATTAATTGCATGATTGCTTAAAAAACAATCAGGAAAACAAAAGGAATAAACGGTTAAATTTAGAAAGTCTCTGGAGAAATGCAAGGTCTCCGTGAATCCCGCCTATTATTTGGTGACCTTTTAGCTGATTTGTGAAAGAGATAGAGCAGCATTTCCTCATGATACGGTCACAATATTCTTCATGTAGTCACTTAACCATTATTCTGCATTTTGTGCATTTTAGGATAAAAGCCATCTGTTCATAGTCAGCTGTAAGAGAAAGGATTATCAAAGCATTCAAAGAAACAAAGAAAGAAAATGTTGAATGCTGTTTAATCGGATTTCTGTTATCACTTGTCGTAGGAATTGGACTCCTCATAGGCGTGACGGGGGAGGAATGGGCAAGATTTGATCTCAGCCTCTCACTGACACACTGGACTGGGCCACTCCTCAGTGAAGCCCTGGATTCCCATCACCTCAGCCTTCAACACCAACTAGACTTCAAGGGCATGACATCACCTTCTGTAACAAGCTCTGTGCGGCTCAGCCCTGTCACACCGTCACAGCGTGTAAAGAATAACCTGCCAACTTGAACTTCAATCCATGTAATTACCACCACAGATATCACATTCTAAGTGCTCAGTTTGAGATGCGGAAATGAAAATGTTCATCAAGGCCGTTTCAAAGTAAAACCATGTACGTTCTAATAAAACCAAATAAAAGAAAAAGTTAGAAATAAGTGATCACAACGAGAGACCGTATAGCTTTCATCTCTGAGTGAGATGTGTGACCTTGCAGAAATGCAATTTTGACATCAATGGAAAATCATCCCGATGACACTTCTGCTCCTCTGCACTCCTGGTTATTTATGTCACTTCAAGATCCTTTTCATCTTGCCAAAATATTTTCATCTCAATGCTTTGCATTCTGAATCTGGTTCCTTGAGCATTCTGCTACATGACAATGAGCCCACTTGAATCTTGATTGCTTCCGCAGCCTGCTTTTAAAGAACAGAGTAGCAGGAAATATGTGAAAATCTTTGAAAGTCTACCTCTCCCTGTCTTTATCGACCTATTTGTAACAGGAAACTCATGTGGACAAGGTGTTGATCACTAAAAATATCATGACCTATGGGTTTAAGGCTACAAGTATAATTAAAAAGAGAGGAACCACACCTAGAAGTGCTAACATAATGGCAAAACATTCCAATCTAAGTCGATTTCACTGACTGATGAAAAACAATGAACTCAAAGAATTGTAAGCAGTGACAATATACAGTCGTTAAGGAAGACCAATATGTTCAGCACACGGTTTTCGTATGAGATTTCAGGGCACCAACAGCTCTAGAGCAGATTTACTCTTGCCCCTGTAAAAGTACAATGTTGCAGCATCACGACAATAATTGGTGTCAGTAAAAACAACAGTGGAAAATAAGACATTTTCCCTTGTCTGGTAATCCAAGCTAGTACTGAAAGAAAAAGGAATATAAATTACTCCCTGTCTGGTGTAAGAATGATGTGCCGCACATTAACAGATTAATAAAAACACACATGAAATACACTAGGTAGCCTGAGAACAAGAGCAAATCTTAATATGTGGTCAGGCACTACATTAGACATAATGTCATCTATTTATTTAATATCCTATTTATTCGATAATGTAATATTTATAGTGACCAAGCTTTCCAGTAATGTATTATGGTTATCTGCCTTAGCTTTTTATGATTTCTCTACAACGATGTATCCTGAGGTTGTATAAGAAGATACTTTGAATAAGAGCTGCTAACACTTTTCAGTTAAAAGCGAATGTATAAACCAACTTTTCAAAGGTATTTTGGAGCTAAATGTTTTGTGCAATGCATTTTTGTGCACCATATTTAGAATGTAGTTGATCCTCTTCTTTTCTGTAAATAATTCTACTAAGTGTGGGCAATGAAGTATTGATTGAACATCAACGTAATGGACCCAGAGTCAGTACGAGCTGTGAACTCTTCAGACCCTGTGTCACCAGGGATGGTCAGATTTTCACAAGTCTTTGCAGCCACATGAAACAAGAAACAAAATTTCTGCAACAAGCCATTTGAATTTCTGAAACAAGTAGCCAAATGTGCCAAATCATCCCCTGTAAAAAATGGTAAGAAAATTAAAATATAAAGATTGTCGATATACACATTGAAAAAAAATACATTACAGAAGTGGGGGCCAAAGTACAGTACTTTATATTCCTGCAAATACCTTTCAGGCTCGTTTCTGGTTTCCATTATTTTATTATTAAAGGACTATTATAGGACTTCCATCAACATATTTTTAATGACCAGCAGGATATTTGAAAGTATTGGTGGGATGCTGGTCAGAATCCTGTAAGATCGATTTATTTTTTGTTCTATTTAAAAAGTGACAATCCATCTATTGCCATTTCTAAAAGATTTTTGTTTTCATTCATTCAAGCTACTGTGAGTCATCCAAGTCTTCTTATCTACGTTTAAAAGGAATTCTAATGAATCTAATTGTTAGAGGTCAGTCTGATCTTGGGTCATGCAGCTAGCTGAGTGTGATGGGAATTTGGCCTCTTCTTGATTTTAGGGCATCTTAGTGGCTTACTGATTTCTGACCTTCCTCCGCTTCCTCCTCTTGGCTCTGTGGATACGAAACAGGAATAATGAAAGATGAAAGATGAAAGAATGGCTTGGACAACTTAAGCAACTGGTGACTCCTCACTAGACTGATGCCTGATCAGTCTGAGTCTGAGCCAGATGACTTGCATCGCCAGATCTTTAAGAAAGAGAGGCTCTCAAAGTGACAGAACTAAATAAACCCCAAGAAATGTGTGTACTTCACATTTCTGAATGCATCATGGATTTTGTTTCCTGTTCTGGCTTTACAAGTGAACATTACCAACTTATTATAATATGTATTTACTCACATCACTATGTATGTTGAATACAGAGAAAGTTATAAAAACAGAAAATTGCTTGTCCTTTCGTTAACAAAATAATTTTGCGATAAGACAAACAAATGAAATGCTACTACCAACCGCATGGGCAGTGAAAGATATCACTGCCGCAGGTTGGTATTGTTAGATGCTAGATACCGTATGTGTACTGATTCTCCCTATGTATGTGAAGAATCTTCTGTTTTTAGGAAATGGATGCAAGCAAATAATTTATCAACGCTGTTACTACCTACACCTAACCAGGCAAGTAGCCAGCACTGCAGAAAACCTGAGATTACAAGCTGAGTATTTTAATTGCAACACAAGCCAGTGGGAAGCCATTGAGGAATCCTTTGCTTATTGATAATGACGCATGACCATCTTCCCTGAGAATAAACATTCAGGAACACTGATGCATCCCCAAATAGGCTCAGGCCAGGAGTGTTTAATAATAAT